AAAATTGTGAAGGATCCTAGGATGTTGTTCTCCTGATCCATCAAATCGGTCGTAGTATTCACCTCCACGATCCGATCTAATGGCCTTAATTTTCTTTCAAAGTTCACTTCAACTTTGAAAGATTTGAAAATATCCAATGATTCAAATTTTTCATGAATCAAATATAGGTATCCAAAACGAGAGTAATCGTCTATGAACGTAATAAAATATTGTTGGCCATTCTAAGATGCCATAGAAAATGGACTACAATATCAGTGTGAATAAGTTCTAAGACTTCTTTAGCTCTCTCAGCCCCTAAATTCTTTATGTTTGGTTACTTCCCTTTAATGCACTCAACGCGTACTGGAAAGTCTGCATCATCTAAGGGATTAAGGATTCCGTCAGACACAAGCCTTAGCATTCTCTGCTTTGAAATATGACCCAAGCACTTGTGCCATAGGATGGCAGAATCCTCTAAAAAATTTCTCTTTGTACCTCTTGATGAAGTTTGCAGTACAAAATTATTGGAAATTACAAGATCAAACATATACAAATTACCAATTAAAGAGTCATCACCAATAAATTTAGAATTTTGAAAGAGACTAACTTTATTATTTCCAAAGACCAAGAAAATCCTAGTTTATCCAAAGCAGAAATTGAAACCAAATTCCGTCTAAATGACGACACTACAACAGTCTCAAATAAATGTAAATAAGAACCGCTCTTTAACTGCAATCGAGAGGTTCCAATAGCCTCCACTGCAACTTTATTTCCAGCACCCACAAAGATGAATCTTTCATCATCACTTGGTAATCGGCTCCACAGACAACCTTGCAAAGACACTTACGTGAGTAGTGGCTCCTGAATCTATCCACCAAGTATCCTTAGGTATAAATGATAAATTAACCTCAGAAGAAACCAAAGTTAACTGTATACCCTTCTTAATATGCCACGTTACGTACTTAGAGCAATATTTCTTCATGTGCCCCAGCTTTTTGCAAAAGAAACAATTTGATTCTACTTGTTCCTTCTTCTGCTTCTTCGAAGCATCAACCACAATATTCTTAGTTCCCTTCTTCTTCTTGCCTTGAGCATAAAAGGCTAGATGAGCACTTTCATATTTGTCTCTCTATACTCTTTTTTCCTTTTGCACACAGTGTGATATAAGTTCATTAAGGGACCATTTGTCCTTCTGAGTATTATAACTCACCTTAAATTGTCCAAAGTGTGCAGGAAGTGAGATCAAAACCAAGTGCACGAGCAAGTCTTCCAACCACTCTAACTTTAGTGCCTTCAGTTTTGATGCAATGTTAGATATTTACATAATGTACTCTCTTATGTTCTATTTGCTTTTATACCGCATAGAGACGAGTGTAGCCAAAAGACTACTCGCCTCCGTCTTTTCATTTTTGGCAAAGTATTGCTCATCGACTTCAAGGAACGATTTAGCCGTTTCACTCTCAGCAACAGAGCCCCGAAATGCCTCCGGAGTTGAGGGCTTCATGATCATCATGCACATTCAGTTCGACCGGTCCCATATCTCAATTTTAGCATCATTAGGCTCTGCCTCAATAGTAATGGGTCAGTCGAATCGAAGGACAAGATCCAAATCTATACAACCGAAAACAATTTCTACGATTTCCTTTCAAATCTTAAAGTTTGTCCCATTAAGTACTGGGATGTTGTTGACTTGAGTAGAAATATTGGGGAAGTAGAAATGACCACAATAAAGACAACAATACAATTACTCACTAAACATTCATGTCATAAATAAATCATGCATGAACAAAATATGGGTAATATAAATTGGGGACTCATTCCAAGACACCAGATGCAACATTAATCTCAACAGAGGATAGAAAATTAACTACAAAGGTAATTTTGGTGCAAAAATCAAGTATTGGTAATAAATTTTGTCAAACATAAGTCTATCGAAGGACCGGGAAATGTTCACATGAATAATATAAATAACTATCACATACTTATCATCACATGTGTGTTATTATTCGGCCAAACTGCGTCTACCAGAGGGTTGATCACAGAACACATAAATAATTTCATACTACATCTTTGTAATATCAATAAAATCGATTTTCACACACAGAGGTTGCGGAGGCAACTTGATTGTTCAATTGACAAAATTGATAAATTACTAGACCAATTAAATAAAAAAAAATAGGGTAAACTGTTTTTTTAGTCCTGTAACTGGACCCTTTATCATTTTAGTCCCGTAAGTGGAGCATGTCGCAAACTAGTCCCATAAGTGAAAATTTTTCGCTGTTTTAGTCCTCCGGCGCCGGAGATGCCCGCGTGGCTCGCCGGAGGTGACGTGTCCGCCAGGTGTCCCGCCAGGTTAGCGACACCTGGCGGACACGTGGATTTATTTTTTTTAAATTTTTTTATTTTTTTAAATTAAAAATATATAAATAAAATTAAAAATAAATTAAAAATAAGTTTTAGAAAAAAATTTAAAAAAATAATAAATAAATAAAAAAATCCATGTGTCCGTCAGGTCAGCGCCAGATGTCGCTGACCTGGCGGACACGTTACCTCCGGCGAGCCACGCGAGCGTCTCCGGCGCCGGAGGACTAAAACAGCGAAAAATTTTCACTTATGGGACTAGTTTGCGACAGGCTCCACTTACGGGACTAAAATGATAAGGGGGTCCAGTTACGGGACTAAAAAGACAGTTTACCCAAAAAAAATATTATGACATTAAGTGTCTCCCCGAATTTAAAATAATATTAAACCAATGAGATCAATGCCTTAAATCCCAAATCATATATTTAAATATATCCATAACTTATATTATATATAATATGTATATCACGAGATAATAATAAACTTAAGTAAATCATTAATATAGATACTAAAATCCCTTTATCTTAAAAATATATATATACACATATATATATATAAATGAATAAATCCATCAATTGTAGATAGATATTCCTCAATAAAATTCATCTTCTTTTATGTGCACAAGGATTAAATCATCCAATGATAATGTGCGAAAAAAATTAATTTTCAAAGATATATATATATATAAACTATAAATTCATATAATCGCTTATATGTGACTCTGTACTACTTGAATAAAAAGTTTAATTGATAATGCACTCGGCATATCTCCAATCTATATGTTCTATAACAATTTATATGAAAGAAACAAAAAAAAAAAAAAAAAACACATTATAACATACCTGGATCCATCGAGTTTCTTGATGTGGAACTGAGAACTTGAACAATTGGTATTACGGTATTCCTCAATTAAATCACTTAATGGGTCCTTCGTAATCTGTCCTAATGGGGAGAATAAATAACAATTATTGATTTAGTGTATTGGGGACCATAACTGAGTGTCCTTTGTATAGTGATCAATTGGTCACCCATAATCACCTAATTGATACGCTATTTGGTATTTGCTCAATTTATCTCTTATTAATAAGGGAGTAATTGACTTGTTCCATAATTAGATCATGTGATTTAAGTCAATCAAATAAATAATTGATTTTTTTGATCTAAGTCAATCAAATAAATGATTGATTATTTCTATAATTAGATTACATAATTTAAGTCAATCAAATAAATTAGAATAGCTAATATAATTGTATATTATTATTTATCCATATTTAAATAGGGAAATATATATTTTCCTAACACTATGGAGAATGCTTGGTGCAATAAAGGCGTCATCCAAGCCGAGTTTCTCATTCTTTCTTTTGTTCTCTCTTTTACAGTGACCATTGAACATGATTTTCACGCAATATCAATGCAAATCAAATCTAATATAGATTCTCTAAAACGGGAGACAAATTAGATTTTATCCTACGAATTAGAACTAATCTCAAATCAATAGATTATGAACAAGTTTACCTTTCAATCGATTGAAGAAGAGACCACAAGAAAGAGAACAACGATGGACACAACGGTTGAGGGATCAATGCCGGAGAGGTTCTCATCGGGCAGGGCAGTGGTTGAGTTCTAGTGAATCTGCCGTCGACTGAGTGATGGTAAGCGACACCAAAGGTTGAAAGAGAGTGGGTTTGGAGCGGAACTCGCTGGAGCCAGTAACACGGCATTGAAAGATGATGGTTGCGACAGCGAGGCTGGGTGAAATCATCGGCAAGGATGTTGGACAGTGGAGAGAGAAAGAATTAGGTGAGATAGATGAGAGACAACACGCTAGGAAGAAAGGCAGCGAGGATGACTGAGCTTGTGTAAAATTGGAGAAGATAAATGTGGGATAAATTAAAGAAGACGAAGGAGATACATCTAGTTTTATTGAAAACTATTGTGTATAATTTTTATTCAATAGTTTGAAGTCAATTTTGATTATTTGAATACGTCGATTTGAAAACCTTTTTGCACTATGTTCAGTGTATTTGCTCTAAGAGGCTGAGGATTCAATGCCCCGCAATCGTAAAGCTATCCATAATAGGGCTACATAAGAATTTATGCATTAAAAAATAGTTTTAAATTGGTCACGAATTTTTCTAGATATTTTGTTTGTTAATTATTTAAATTTAATTTTTTTAAAAAAAATTATTTTTTTTAATAGAAATATAAATTTATATGAATTTTTTCTAATTAAAATCAAGATTATAAAAGGATAATATGGATAAGAAATTCTAATAGAATTATTTTGTCGCTAATGGCCTAGTGATTAATTGAAGAGATGGAATAACATTTTTTTAAAAGAATAAATTATCAATTTATTTGTTTAGTGTTTAAATTTAAAAATAAATTAACGTAAAATATAAAAAATTGCATAAAAATAATATTTTATTTTTATTAAATAAATTATTTTTTTAAAAAAGATAAATATATCAAAAAAATTAAATTGGTCAAACAAACTCAAACTCTATATAACCAGCCGTAAATTTTCAGTTTTACAAAATAAACATTAAAATAAAGGCGCTTATGTGTTTTTTCACTTTGGTAAGGATGGAGCGCGGGAAATTTGAAAGGCGCGGAAAGCTAGCCGCCATTCAAGTTTCTTCTAAGCTACAGTCATCAATGGCGTCTCCTCTGAATAGTGCAAACGACTCTAACAGGTCGAGTGTGTGCCAGAGGAATGTCGAGATCTTCTCATCCACGGCTTCACGCCGAGGACTCTCAGGTGAAATAAATGAATGACCGACCTAGTTCTATTAACTGCTACATTTTCTTGTGGACACTATCTATTAACTCTTCCACCATTTTTTCCTTTTGTTATTGTGCGGAAGGTATTGAGGGCTCTAAATTCGGAGTCGTTTCCTTCAGGTTTGCACGATTGTAATTCATGTATTTAAGTTTCTTCTACTATAGCCCGAATTCGTGCTGCTCGTCATATTTTGTTTAAACTCCATAAATAATTCTGCAGACTCACTCTCCTTATTTTGTATAGTAATTAAGATTTTGGTTTGTAACATTGGTGATACGATTCCTTGTCCGCAGAGCCTCCTGATATCAGGAATTGGTTCTCGAGCTACTTGTACGAGTCCCCCGAATTGAATTCAGTTGATGGTTTCCTAGATCTTGATGGATCTAAATCAGCCTCTATTGAAGATGATAACAAAGAAAAATCTGGAGAAATTCTTAATGAAGGCAAATCCGAGGCTGATTTTCTCATTGCAGGAAAACAATTATCAGAGGAGATTGTCCATCGCAATGAGCCTGATGTATGTGAATCCAGCAAGTCAGACGCCATGGTAACTAAATTTATCCGTCATCAGGATTCAGTACCACCATAATTCTAAACTAAAAGATGTTTTGCTCCCTAAGAGAATTATCCTTTGCAATTTGCCAATTTACCTTAGCTATTAACATGTATGCAGAGGGTAGCGTATTCCTTAAACATGGCCTTAAGCCGAAAATGGATGTTGCAATGCTTGCTGTCAACAGATGATATACCTAGGTCTCCTATAGATTTTGTTCTTTTCTTTTAATTTTTGGTTAAGAGTAGATGAACTCCATTTGGGACTGCTTCATTCACCAATTAGAAGAAAATGAAGTTTGTGGGTGAAATTTGTGGTCAAACATTACAAATAATGTTTCTTTTCGAAACTAGGATTGTTTCAATATTGTGTGTGATCTTGAGGGCTATATAATGTGTAGGAAACACAATGAAGAGATAAAAGGTACATTAAGAAAATTGATGTCATTATATCAAATATAGTTTGCTTATAGCATATTGTGTTTACATTGAAATTCGACGGAGATGCCATTGTAATATATGTTTAATTGATGGTTGAAAATTACCATTGAAAGGTTCTTGTTTAGAGTTCACTTCTTGAGTGTTGGAGATTCTGAGCCTAAGGTTACATACTTACATCAAGTTCTCCGATCTTTATTTAACAAATTAACTTGAGGGATTTTGAATCTGCAACCTGAACTCACTCCTCTTCCAAGACACAACTTCGACAGATACATGGCCAACTGATTGTTTACAATTAAGATGACTTTGTATTTCCATCTGAATAAATCCTTATTTGTTTTGGTTGTTTTCATCTCTGCACTTAAAGCTAAACACTTGTGATCTGCAGGATGATCACAACATTAGGCCTATGACAAAGCCACGTGTCCTAAATTCATTCAATTTGAAAAGCTCCGGCGAACAAAAAAAGTCACCACAGGAACCAGGCAACGCAGACGAGGCCAAAAGGATGGGCTGTTGTCTGATAGACAGAACAAATGACAACACATTTCATGAAGAATACACTAAATACAACCAGGATGCAGATAGCCAATCCCATAAGTCCTCCGCAAGTAACAAATCTGTCGAGGAAGGTATGGGAAAGGAAAATCTTAATAATGTTGCATCATCTGGAATTAGAGATTGCTCGAAATCAGAACCTGTTGCAAATGGAAGTGATGGTTTTGTATCTACGCGGAAAAAGACTCGAAGATCAAATTCTGTGGAGAATAATGTGATACAAAAAAGAGGGCTACAACTTTTCTCAAATCTTGTCAGGGTGGCTAACAAAAGCATCGAGGCTTTGTCTTACAGCTGTGATGATGCATTGGGAGATACTGGAGAATGGCAATGCCCTCAGAAGAATAAACCAAATCTTGGCCCTCCTATGAAGCAGGTTCGATTGGAGCAGTGGGTTCGTCGTTGCGCGAAAAATGGATAGGTAGCGGCGGGAATGAATTACCCGGTATGTAGTGCAACTGTTAGAATGTTTTGCATTATATTGTCACTTGTTAGAACAAATGTGTGAGCAAGAAACTACTCCAAATAAATGGGGGCATAATTGGCTATAACATACGGGTGTAGTTCGTGTTTTCGGATCGTATTCGTGTCAGATTGAGCTGTGGATGTAACAAAAACCTATCAACCCGAAGACTACTTGAACCACAAAAAACTATCAATCCGAATACTACCTGAACCTAAATTTCAATCCAAAATCTCATACTTGAACACAACAATATTTTTTAGGTTTAAGTCAACTGATTTAGTGTTAGATCACTCGATAATCCGAACGAATATGAATGAACTTGACACGAAATAAATTCAAAAACCAAAAACTTCTTAAATTTATCTAACAAATTCAATAAAATATGTACTCCATCCGTCCCAATTCAAAGTATTATTTTTACCGTTTTCGTTTGTTTCACTTCAAAGTATTCATTTTATATTTTAGACAAAATAATCATACATTAATATTAAAATATCCTTGATTTTTTACTGAAATTACAAACATATCATTATATATACAACTACTTTATACATAAAGTCAAAGAACAAAAGATGTCAAAAACTCTTACATGCTTCCACTAACTAATAAAATACTATTATCATTCTCGTTTGGCTCTTTGCGTATTAATCTTTGAATACTCCTAATTATTATATCAAAACCTAATACAAATTTTAAAAAAATTGCAAAAATATTTTCATTAGTATCTTATAATACTAATAGAATGATATTTATACAAAAAAATTATACAAAATATAAGGATATTTTTAATGTTAAGTACAATGAAGAAAAATGTAAATGTGACTCTTAGAGGCGGACGAAAGAAGTATTTCCTAATTTACTACAAAACCTCAAATGCCCCTTGACTTGGGACGGATGGAGTATTATTTATTTAAAAGGAAAAATAGCATAAAATCTCTGTCTGGTTTGCCGAATTTGCTGAAAACTCCATATGATCTGAAAATTTTATAAAATCTACTTATAGTTTCTAAAATGTTGCAAAACATATCTCTGCCATTAACATTTAACGGAAATTGTATTGCATATGCAATCACTGCGTGTATTATTGAAAATTTATATAATAAAAGAAGGGAAGTTACAAAATTGCTCTTCCTTCTCCAATAATGTACCTAATTACTAGTAAATTTGGGGGTTTTTCAGACTCACTAGGTTTTCTTCCTCTTCTGATGATAAGTTAGGCTGTTTCGCTCCTCCCTATTCGAGCCGTCGCCTCGGACTCTTCTCTCTACCGTCCGCGCCGAGTCCGACTGACATCAATATATATATATATTTTTCGCCCACGCCGCTTGGGCTGTCAATCCGGATCTGCTATGGTTCCGCATTGTTATAGGTCGGATTACGGGTCGGGTCGGGTACGATTTTCTCGAAATGGGGCTGGTAAGGCCGCGCCTAAACGGAATTGGAAATATGGGGTGAGATATTCTTGGATGATTTTCATTACTTTTATTTTGAAGAAATTTATTTTATTTAATATTGATTAAAATTTATTGTTTCAATTCGATTCTTTCTTAATCCTCAATCGAGTTTGAGCATTGATTGATTCTTCCTTCCTATATTCTATTTTTGTGTATGTTTGAGTTGAGGATCTTCATACACGGTTTATACATATATGTGTGTCTATATGTGTGAGATGCAACTGAGAATCTTGGATAAAATCATTCTAAGTATGAATGATAAAGAATCTTGTATAGTTGCTTATACTTCTGCTTTTGTTATTATTTACGGTATTTGTTTTGAATTGGAGGTTTATGATATGTGAAGTAGATGCCGAATGGAGGGAAGAGAGAAGAAAAATGAGTGGGGAAGAAGAAGGGAATGCAGGAAAGAGCACGATGTACAAGGAATAAGAAATGTAATTTAAATTGGGCATAACGGTTAGTAGTGTGTATAAAACTTTAACACTTAGTGCAATTTAAAAGGATGAGGCAAATGTGCAACATTTTAGAAACTCCATGTAGATTTTATGAAATTTCGGATCTTTGAGCAAACCACCGTGGAATTTTATGTTATTTTGTTTATTTAAAATTTTGATTTCTTAAATTAATAATTTTTATTTTTTATTTTTTATAATATAATTTTTTATATTATTTTATTTTTAATATAATTTAAATATTATATTGCCTCCGTCTCAACTAATTTGTCTACTTTAGCTGGGACACAAAGTTTTAAATACTGTGTAATTAGTAAACAATTAAGAAGTGTATTAGTAAAAATAATTATGATATAATAAAAATAATCATAGAATAAAATTAAAATGACTAAATAGTTTAATTAAAATAAAAAATATTATGAACTTTAAAATATAGTTAAAGTGTATAATTATATTTAAAAAAAATGACAAATTATTTGGGAGGGACGGAAACAAAAAAAGTGGACAAATTAAGTGAGACGGATAGAGTAATTAAAATAAATATAAAAATTTAATTTCAAGTCAACCTCGTGTTCAAAATCCGACCTAATTTTCATATTTCTGATTATCAAGTCAATTCGAAATTCGACTTGATTTTTTCGTTTTTGGTTCTGATTGATCCGATTTTTTACAAATCCGAAACACCCAAATTATAACTTGAAAATTTTCATGTAGAACGAGTTTAATTTTTCGGATTGGATTTAATTTTAGCACCCCCAAAATATCAATAGAAAAAAAAAGAAAAAAAAAAGAAGAAGATAGGATACAAGATGAAAGTGCTTATTACGACAGTCAAAATTTTAACCTTTAAGACTATTTGCATTGGGGGTTTCTCTCTTTACGTCATTTTTATTAATATATATATATATATATATGCGAGCCCTGCTTATTTCTCTTTCTTTTATGTGCCTCACTTTTAATGAGACACGCGGTAGATGAGACCGTAGTTAATTTTGTTATCTATTTTGTATTTTATTTGAAATATATGTTTATATGTTATAAGTTTTATTTTTTACAAAATAATACTCCCTTCGTCCTAGATAATATGGGTCTATTATTGTAAATACGAGAATTTAGGTAAATATAATCAATAAGTAATTAAGAAATATATTAGTAAAAATAATTATTATATACTAAAAATAATTATAAATTAAGATTAAGATAACTAAATAGTTTATTAAAATTTAAAAAAAATCAAATTTAAATTTTAAAATATTATTAAAGTGTATAATTAATTTTCTAAAAAAGAAAAGAAAAAAAATTTGTGAGACGAATGAAAATAAAAAATAGTACCAAATTATGTGGGAATGAGGGAGTACTACAATATTGATATATTTTATTCAATAATATTTTAATTACTTGTACGGTTTTATTTGAAATTATTTTTATTTTTTAAAAATTATTATGTTAAATATATTTTATATATTAATATTTTATCAAATATAAAATAAAATTTTTATTATTTAAAATATTATAAAATAAAATACTTTAATAACGTGGAGGAAAGAAAATTTAAAATTTTTGTAAATGGATTTCTTTGATGCGTGTATAAAATAAGATGAGTTTTCCCGAATAGAAGAGAAAAAATATGACGTGAAATAAAGAGAGAGACGCGAGAAACCCTTGTTCAAGTTCATTGATGTGGATGGTCTAACTATTATTTTTTATTTAATATTTATTTACTACAATTGACATTATATTTATTACATTCTTTCTTCACCATTATTAATTACTAATTAAATTTTTAAAAATACATTCAATACTCCTTTTATTTTTTATCAATTTTTTAATAAAATATATTTTTTTAATCTCCGTTCCGAATTCAAATAGATGGAGTATTGTATTGAAATTTAAAAACAATTTAGAGTCATCAAAGATTATTACGGGGCTGGCGGGTCAGATCTGTATTAAGCATTTCATTATAAGATAGATAACGTATGACCAAGTTAGCACACTAACTTGAAACAAGTAAGATTTCATCATAAAACAAAAAAACATATTATATGTTATATAGAAACAAGTGTTGTGCGGGTTATATATTATACTGAAATCAATATATATTGTACTATATGAAATTATATAATGTACTATATTATATATTGTATTAACATTTGTTGCGTACGTTATATATTGTGCTAAGTATAATTATATAATGTGCTACATGTAATTTTATAATATACTATCAAAATATGTGTTGTATATTTCCTCCATGCACTTCTAACATTTATATATTTTTATTTTGGTTCGCCTAATTCAAAGGTTTATATTTCTTTTTTGTAATAACTGTGGACCCTATAACTAATTATTAATATTTTTTTACACTTATTTGTCATTCTATTATCACTTTATTATACACTTACATCTAAAATTAAAGATAATTTGATTTTTACACTATTATATCTAAAGGCTACTATTAAAATATTAATATTTCTTAATCTGCATGCAAAGGGTAAATATAAATATTAGAGCCAGATAGAGGGAGTATTATATTAATATATACTATTTTCTTAATCACGTACTACGTGTCATTATATAATATGCTATTAAAATATGTGCTATTTTCTTTATAAATATATGTTGATTGAGTCAAATCATCATCATACTGATTCTATCAAATCTTAACATGTCACCATAATCAAATATGTGGATTAAATATGAATATTTTCTTTAAAAAATTCCTATTTTATTAAAAACTAATTAAGAGTTTTTCTATTAAAAAAAATTTGAAAATACTCGCCAGTTTATGCTTCTAAGACTATTTTTTGCATCAGTCATAGGAATTCTTCTGCAACTTATATAACATGTGTGTTTGTTTTTTATTTGATATTTTTATGTAAGATATGAAAATTTGTATAAATAATATTTAAATAAAGAGTGTAATATATTAATTATTTCGAAAAATATGTTTAACAATTTTGTTAAAAGAACAAAATGAACTTAAACTTTTATCTACTTTTCAATATATACTTGTAATTTGTTATATAATTTTTTGATCTTCATACCATATTTTCTTATATTATTAACAACTTATTTTAAACAATATCTTAAAAAATTGTTTTTTTCTTTATTAAAAAATTCAATGGGAAAATTGTAAAGAAATATCTTCGATGTATATTTAATTATCATTTTATATATTTATTTATTTAG